TGGATAACAGACGGTGGTAAGCTCAGTTTTGTAGATCTAAAACAAGCGCTGTAGATCGCAGGGCTATTAACAAGGCTTTTCAATCACTCAAGTCGGAGAAAAATGAAAACGCAGGAAGTTAGATTGCCGGAAGGTGACAAAGGTAGAAAAAGGACAAGCGCGGGAAAAAGTTGAATGGTAGAAGGGTGCGAAGGCATTAATTCCAGATTGCTGCTAAAGGAATTAGTTTGTCTACAAAGGAAACTAGTATTTTTTTTTTTCCAAACTGGTTTCCTCATAATAAGTGTCGCTGATTTGTTTTATCGACAGTCGTGAGACGCATAAAATAGCATTGGTGTACGTGGCGCACGGTCAAGAGGATAAGACGTCTATAATGTCCAACTGTGTGGGAAGTGTGGAGTTTGAGCACTTTGTAGCCGGTCTGGCCTGGGAGGTGAGATATATTTCACAAATTTTACTCATAAATTTGCATCACTCCAAAAAAGGAACCAATTTAAGAGAGTCAGCCAGGTATGCGTCATTCTTCAACCATTGTTATTTAGGGTCAGATGAATTATCCTCGAAAATTAAGCAGCAAACTTTTGAGCTTCACCCCAAAAAAATAGGTTTCATCATGCTCAATTTAACAATTCAAAATATTAGCTTTTAAGAAACCCTCAATCAATCTCTCCCCCCTCCCAATTCCTATCACTGACAGATAAAAGTTGCGAAGAGTAAAAGGCTTACCGAAGTTCAACACACAACATCTTATAAGTGCAAATGTTATTAAAGTGCAGGCAAAAAAAAGAAGAAGGCTTGTGTGACCTACCACAATGCTTGCATGATTAAACACTTCCCAGTAGTGACTTTTGTTTTATATGGTCTAGGTTGACTTGTCTAAGCACACGGGATTTTTGGGTGGATTGGAGAAGAATCTTTCGACTGGCACAACAGCACCCTACTACTGCAACTCAACTACCGAAGTCATGTTCCATGTGTCTACTAGAATGCCACTGGCGACTGATAACACTGGATTTAACCGAAAGGTCAGACGACAATTTTATTATCAGTTTACATGAGTATATGAATATAGCTTTTCTCGGATACCAAGTTTGTGGAAGTTAACAAGATTGATTGCACTTTTCTGTATTGGTAAGTTAGGCGTCCGTGCACGATGTTTATCGCGTTGAACTCACTCTTTCGCGAGGGGCAATGATTGGGTCACTTTTGTAAGTCTCTACCCAGGGTAAACTTTTGGAGAAACACGTTTAAAATCAGTAATTTTATCAGTTGGAAGGTGTTATATTTTAGCACCTTCTCTTCACCAATTTCAAGGGAATTGTACCGCAACTAGAAAGGAGATTTGGGTATCAGATCATATTCTTTTCAGAATTTAGCAATCATCGATGGTTATTTGTGGCGAGTTTAACTAATTGCTTCAAAGTTGTTGGAAAATGTTTGGAATTTCGTTCACGTTGCCTTCGTTTTCTTGTTTGTTTTAGGTTCGCCATATTGGAAATGACGAGGTTCATATCGTTTGGTCAGAACATTACCGTGATTACAGACATGGCATCGTCAATACTGACTTTGCGCATGTCATGATTGTCATCTATCCATTGAGGAACCATTTGTTCAGAATACAAATCATCAAGAAACCCAAGGTTAGAGAGAAAATATTTACGATGTCGGGGTTTCTGTTATCGTGATATGAATTGCAGCCGTGAGACAGGGTGTGGTTTCTTGCTTCTTTCTGTTTCCCTTCATTAACAGAATTACCGCTTTATGTCGTCTTTAGAGCTTTGATTTAACACCTAGGTTTAGACCACAGGCTGAAGGTCTCGGTTTTGACCACTATTAAGCGTCTTAAAATGTTTAGAAGTTGAATCTAAAACTAATTATAGATTAGGTTTAGATGTTTGTGGATAAGGAAATTTTCTCGTAAATAGCCCTTTAAAATCGGGAATGAGTTGATAGGATCAAGTATTCTGTGTAAAACTCGGGTTAATGTTTCCCTTGGCACTCTATTTTTTAAGGTACCTATGTTTGGACCGTTGTTCGACGGTGCTTTGGTGGACAGGAAAGTTTTACCAACCCTTGTGAGAGCGACCGCTATCAACGCCAGCCGAGCAACTAGAGAACTTTTGCCTGTTTATGAGAGATAGTATCCTTTTCTATCAGGAAATCGTGTCTGTTTTGTAAAAAGAATACCGACCCAAAGAGGTTCCAATTTTTCAGCGTAGCAGTCGTCAGTTGGGTATGTCAGGCAAGATCAACCTTGTCACACGTCGAGTTGTGCGATGAGGTTAGACAACGACTGTGGGGAAGACTGGGCTTGAGTGTAGTCCTATCTGTTTTGGTATGCAGTGTTTGGTGGAGTGTCCTAGTGTCAAAAGAGTTCTAAATTCATGTTTCTCAGTATAAAGCTTCTCTTTGGAATCTAATTAAAGAAGTTAAAATTGTTCTTACTTTTTCCACGTCTTTCTTTTTCCTTGATTGTTGATCTCAGCTTTGAAGAGCGAGCAGCATGCATTGAGCGAATAGTTAAAAATCACAAAGAACCCACAACTTACGAGGACTTTGCATCTCTGGTGTTCTGTCCCGTCCCGAAACCCCTGGGAAGTGAGCCCCCCACTCCTACTTTATCAGCGGGTGAACGACATCTAATCTTGCGGACGGAGACGGCACCTACTACGAGCAGTTTATCCGACAGCGAGAAGACATCCTTGCGAAATCGATCCAAAAGTGTTGTGACCTCTCCAAGATTGTTCAACAACAAATTAGGTGAGTTTTCTTTCATTTATTCAATTTTTTTTTCATTTTGTCATGCATATATTTTTTATTTTAATCGTTATTATTTTAGAGATTTATCAGAGCGTATTTAATTTTGAATGGTCCAATATATACAGCCAGGGTGCGTGTCTGGAGTCTGGATTCAAAGCCCGGTCGAGCCATCGTTTAACGTCCCTGGGGAAGATACGTCACTCGTAAAGTGCCTCTCTCCCCTCCGATACTGCCAGAAATCCCTAGAGGGGGTTGGGTAGGAGGTGGGTTGAATACGGCGATTGTGTATCAGTAGACTGATCTTAGTGTCTATAGGGCAGTTGTAACTTGGCCAGGAATATTTGATGGAATTTTGGTGTTGACAGTAGAGTTCTTTGTTTGCTTTTTTCCGCAGTCGTGGAAGAGGAATTCGCATCGTTAACTTCGTCTCTCCCAGACGGTCTTGATAACGTGACAGGTGGCCAGGCAGGTACTGACGGAACGAATCCTCGGCAAGACAGAAAGAGACTATCACTGCGATGGAGAAATAAATTGGCAAGTCAAGGTGCCACTGGAAACGCAGCTGATAGCGAGTAAACTTGGTCAAAGAAAACGTATTTTATTGGACTGTAATTTTTTGATTTAATTCTGGGAAAGTTAATTAAGAAATTTAAGATAAGTTTCATAAGGTTTCTGTGTTGGTACTCACTCAAAAATGGCCACTATTCATCCGCCGTCAGTTAAATTGGGTGTTAGAAACTAGACCGAAGAACATTAATTTTGAACTGTTCCAAGCAGCCTGTTTGTGGGGACAAGTGAGAATCTGGGGCGAACGAAAGAAATATCGAATAGGAACTTCTTCCCAGACCACTGACGATTTTCGCTTGCTCGATTTTCGTTCGTCTCTCCTGACCGAGACCCTGGAATTGGTTAAATGTTGTTGAGATATGGAGATAAAAAGAAATTACATTAGGCCACGAAAAAGGCAAGAACGACTCACAGACTTGTGTACATGAGATCATGCACTATATTCGCATGTAGGTGTCCCTTGTTTTCATTGTAACTGAACCCTCTCTTAGAGACAGAATCCCAAGTGCAATTCCAAATTTTTCATGTTTCTCCCTCGTACAAATTATGCCGAAGGGCACTTTCAATATGGTTAGTCATTGCATAATAATGAATTTGAATATGTGTGATTGCCTGCACCGCAAAACACTCAAGTTTCAATTAAGCCAGCACAACGTCAGTATCTTAGCAACTGCTCACCTACCCCTCCCCTAACCCAACACTTACCCAAAATTTGAATCAGTTGACTGTTGTTGTAATAGGGGAGGGGTTCGTGCGTAGTCGCTCAGATGCTGACATTGATCCCGTTTTTCTCGTAATTTTCTTAGCAATCATTATTTGGCAATTTTTTGGAATAATATGTGTAAGATTATTTTTTAAACTTTCGTGTATTAAGAGAAACCTGGAGACTGCTTTGTAATAATTAAGGTTACCATATAGTGTCTATATTTTATAACAGAGAATTGTACATACAAAATGATTAATTGAAAACATTCTCAAGTTTCTCAGTAAATTATTGGACGAATAACGCCTGCTCCTAATGTAGCTGGAATGGTTAAAAATTCATTTAAAAAGTGTTACGCACTTGCGTATGTTTTTGTTGCTTTTTCCATTTTCAGTGAAATATTTCACGTCCTCGAGAGCTTTGTGAGCGGGTTAAAACTCGCGCCCACTTTCTCAGACAATCAGAAATAAACAGCAAACCAAGGCGCGATTGGCAAACTTGCGATTTCTCGCACTGGATAATTGCGCTCAATCAATGAGCAGTTGACTTTGTTCCGAGCAACACTCTCTTACCTCAAGGTAACACTTTCCTGAGAGCATGTCACCACACGAGACTGACCTGCGATAATGTCAGTATGAGAAGCTAATAATCAGTCGCACAGTTGATCAAGAATGAAAGCTTGCAAATGACAAAAGGCTTACAGTTAATTAAGAGGCGCTTTAGACTTAATGTGACTTCTTGGATAGTTTTCCATATCACTTGATTTTTTTTCAGTTGTAAATTATGCCAAATGATATCTCAATTCCACTACCTTCAAAAATCAATTCTTTTGAAATTCTTACCGCCGAAGAAAGCCGTGCCTTAACACAATGGAGAAAATGCAAATCCTTCTTGTAATTACCCTGAAGCAATATGGTTATTTATTCAGTAATTAAATCCGCGAACCGTCGATTTGATATTGTTAAATTCTTGTAGACGCGTTTCGACGCATTCGTTATGTCACACTTTCACTCTCGATTATTCTGACAACTGCGAAAGAACGATGGCGTTGAAAAGCAAATATGCGGACGTATCAATCCCCGAAACCTTATCTTGGCCGGATTTTGTGTTTAGAGACTTCGAGAAGTATGGGAATCAAACATCTATCGTAAGTCGTTCAACGAGGAATAAATTTATCCTCGGTAATAACTATAGAGCTATTTTTATCTTTCAACTTTAATCTCGGTGTTCTTGACTTCGTCTTTTATTCCACACAGGTATTCTGAGCGGCAGAAGAGCCACTAAACATATTACACAAACAGATAAATGTGTGAACTTAATTATGTCAAAGAAAGAACTGTCCTTTCTGATTCATTCACTAAATGGACCGACAAATTTATCTGTTTCGTTTATTTGTATTTCAAACATGTTTCTACTTAGGGAAAATTCAGTTTCGAGTTCCATTTTCGACTATGGTCATCTTTTTTAATCAATTACCCAGAAACGCGGAAGTTAACTTCATAATAAATAAAACAAAATAAAACGACATTGAAATTTCAGCGAAAATCACTCATCAACACATCGAGTCCATGAGGTCACGAAGAAGCCAAAACGTGTTTACTCCGTCACGTTCCAATCGAAACTTAAGGGTTTGTATGTCAAATTTTTGTCGATCACTGTTCAGATTTCAATAACTTGGTGAGTTTCGGAAATTTACCTTTCTTGGCACGAAGTGTGCAGAGAGAGGCCACTGTACAAATGCTGAACTACTAACACTCACAACAGAGTAAAAGGTGCCCTTTGTTTATTAACAATATTTAGTATGGATTCTTCAAGATCTAAGCACAGGATATATTGACGCATAAACGAGGCTTGTAAATAAAGCGTCATCATCAGTTTTCAGTTATCGAATGTAATCACGCAAGTTTGACACCAATATCCATAAAACTACTTAACAGAAGTTCTCGAACTGATAAAAGATGTATTTTTTATGAAGATTCCGCTTTTGTTTGAGGGCTTTTTCATGCATAACAGGGCCAGCAGGAGACACGTTCTCTCATCGTGAAACTGTAAAACTTTTCTCTCGATCGATCGACTGTAATGAGTATTATATTGGTGACGTATCCTAGGTTGACAATCTAGTAGCAAAGTAGAATTTCCACAGGATATCTAACCTGACCACGAAATCAAGGAGGGACTGTTTAAATTGAAAGCACTGATGGAGGGTGCTTTCGAAAATGGGTTTAGTTTAGTTGGGTTTAGTGTATACAGTACCTTAAGATTGCTCAATAAATCAGCCAACCATTCTTTGAGTAGCGAGTTATCAAAAGCGTTTGTTGTTGAGGGTGGTTATATTAATAATTACAACAATGTTAATAATTGCAATGTTAAAACAATTCTTGATCCCAGGAAAGATCTACTTTTCCCGATTAGGAGAGAAGCAAAACTGTTCCCCCATTCCACTCCAGCTAAGAACTCGCCAATCATTTGTACTTTTCCCGATCTGAAAACTCGCTCTTTCTTTTCCATCATTCTTGATATTTTTCTCGTAGATATGCGGCGCAACCAAACGCGAATACACGTTTTCACAAGTAAGGGATTTGAGCAGAAGAGTCGCCTCGGCTTTAAGCAAAAGAGGACTTCGCAAGGGAAATGTGGTTGCCCTGTTTGCTCCGAACGTTCCTGAATTTCCCATTGTATTCCTTGGAGCTCTTCAAATTGGTGCGGTCGTGACCGGTGTCAATCCATTCTTCACAACCGAAGAACTGACCAATCAGCTCGAAGCAGCTGACGCAGTATGTATCATCACTGTTCACCAGTTGGAACATCGGGCCAAAGAAGCCGCGAAGAAACTGGGTATAGACCACATGTTTGTTCTTGGGGATGACGTTGAAGATGAGTATGACTTGGTTTCAATCCTTTTCAATGATGACGGGTCGAGTTTGCCACACGTCACGTTTAACCCAAAAGAGGATTTAGCAATTCTTCCGTTTTCCAGTGGGACTAGCGGTCTTCCGAAAGGCGCCATGGTAACACATTATAACTTGGTTGCTCTGGGCTGCATTGCGACTGCACGTGGCTTTATGGATTTTAAACAAATTACTACAGAGCAAAAGAATTCTACTACTCTAGCTTTTGTTCCATTTCACCGCCCTTTCGGCCTAATAGCTGTTCTATCTCTCAGTTTGCAACAAGGAAGTTGCTTAGTTTCAGTGCCAAGATTCGAACAAAACAGAATATTTAATCTTTTGCAGGATTACAAGGTAAAGCATTTTTTCGGTTTTGAGACTTTTTAATACAATCGTAGCTGTGAGTGGGTAAAAAGTTTTTCCACTTCCCTCTTTCAATTGGATCTTATCAGTGACTCAGCCTAATTTCCAGGCGTCTCTCCTTCCTCATTGTTTGTGCAAAGTCTGGGAAGATTGAGTGGATAAAAACGTTGTTGTCGCCGAGAGACGTTCCCTAAATTATTTCACGGCAAACGTCACGGCTCGGTATTTACTGAGCGAGGCCTGAAGGGGTTTAAGTTTAATTTGCCACCCCAACAAGCTCGCCACCACCGAGAGTCAAATCGCCACCGGTGGCGATTTGACTTCAACGTTATGTGTAGCCAGTTGTATGAATCAAAGGAAAGCTAAGATATAATAGTGTATTGCGAAAAGGGAAAGGGACTCATAAATTATGTGTAGCCTCTCAATTATGGCACGTTAATCCTTAAATGCCACAAGAAATATCCATCACATTGTAATACCGCAGACGCACCTTAAAGCCGCACGTCAGGGAAAAACCGCCGACATGCTATTTATTATTCTAATACACTTTTTTTGTGCGCATTTTTAATTTCGCATCATTAAAACCAAATTAAACTTTAAGGTCTAACCTTTCATATTACATAAGTTTCATTAGATTTGATTACGAAATGCGTTCATAAGAAAGAAACTCGTGCTACAGGTTGCGTCCACATTCTATGTGATTAACACAAAGGAAGGAAGTCAAGTCCGTTTCTGTAAACTTCGCTGTGTTTGTCGCAATATACTACTGCACCTTATCATTTGCTGTAAATTCATGCGGTCACATCGGCGGAAATAATTTAGCGAAAATCACCTTGGTTTCGCTTTCCGCCAACTGATCATAATCTTCGGGACATCAACATGTTTTATTGCATTTAACGGTTTACGTTCTATAATTGAGAGGTTACACATAACTTCTGAGTCCTTTTCCCTTTTCGCAATATACTACTAAATCTTATCTTTCCTTTGATGTAAGTTACAAACGACAGGCAACACAAATCACCTCAGGTGGCGATTTGACTTTCAGTGGTGGCGAGTTTTGTGGTGGCGAATTGAGCGGATACCCTTGAAGGTTTAGACAGTTCCAGGCCTTCCGCTCCCGATTCCTGCCGAGGCCATTGTTCGTCAAATAAAAGCATCCCCACACACATCTTTTCTTTTTTTCTAACAGGTGACACTTCTCGTAACCGAGGCGTCAGTAGTGCATCTCCTTTCCATCCATCCAGCAGTAAATAACACCGATTTGTCGTCACTAGCGGAGGTGATATCCA